TCAAAGTAATATTAAAAAAAAAAAAAAAAAAAACGAACTTTGGATAACTTAGTTCAGTACCCAAAAAAAAGAGTAGCAATCTCAATCTACTTGTCTCTTTTTGCTGCCTAATAAAACATTAATGATACCAGAAATTAAAACAATTAAAGCATTAATATAAAAATTATAATCTGAGTGTAATAGTTGATACATTGTGTCAATGTGAGGTCAGAAATTTAATGAATCAATTCAGCAGAGATCTAGGATCCTTACTATGTAACATCCTCAGCCTATGTAAGAGGAGACCACAGAGATGGTGTGAGTGCTGCACCCACCCCAGGGGAGCAGCTTGCGTACACTATAAGGAAGGAGAAGAGACTTGTTCTCCCTGCCCTTTTTTCTCTTACTGTCTTCTGCCACCTTGAAGTGTTACCCCTGTGCCATGCTGCCCTTCCTTTGAGTCAGTTAATTATGGACTGAAGCCTCTATAGTAACTATGAGCTAAATAAACATTTCTTTCCTTAATTTTAGATGTCAGGTACTTTGTTTCAGCAACAAGAGAAAAGTAACTAACACGCTGAAATACTGAGAAAATGAAGCATAACAGATTTATAAATGGTCTCCCCTAACCAGCACGATTTTTAAAGGCGGAAATGTGGGAAGGGCTGTGCTTTCTAAAGGATGCAGAGGATGCTTGGTCCCTGGCGAGCAGTTGTGCTGTAAAGGGACTGAGAATGTTAAGTGAGTTAAGTGTTCAGAAACCACTAAGATGAAATACATGGGATCTCACAGCATCATCTCTACCTCCATTTTATACAACTGCTGGGGGGAATTGTTGGTTTCTTTAGTCTTTCCTATGCCTGAGGGACCTAAAAATAGAGGGCGAAATGATTGAAATTTTAGGCCAAAAGGCATAACATGATTTAAACAGGCAACAAATGCAGACAAATGCTAAACTGAGATTTTCTGGAAAAAACCTATATCTGTCTTTAGAAATATTAACATCAAGAGAAACAAATAAATTCTGAAAAGTGCTCCATATTGAAGGAGGCTCAAGAGATAAAAAAAAAAATCTTACGTTGTTGGATTACTTTCTGAATGACAACAATAAAATTGCCATAAAGAATATTACATATCAATAGTAAAGATTTAAATAAGGAAAATATACATATATTATTGATTATGATGAATGCTCTCTGGTTAAGCAAAGGAAGTCCTTGTTCTTGACTTTATGATTTGCATGCTGACCTATTTAATTGTAAGGGTCAAGATATCTGTAATTTACTCTCAAATAGTTTAGAAAGTACATGAACCAGTTTGTGGGGCAAAATATAAAATTCAAATATTCTTGTAACATTTCTATAACTTTGACACTGTTTCAGAGCAATGAGTCCAAAAAGAGTTATGATATTCCTGTTACCCCTAGCTCTGCCAATGGCTAAGCATATGGCTTCTGAACCTGATTCATCTGTAAGAGAAAAATAATCTGTTACTCTGTCACAGCAAATTATAAGGCTAATGGGATAATGAGGTTCAGGGAGCATTATTTGTTTTTGTCTAAGGTTTGGGGATATATCTTCTAGGTGAGAAAACTGATCTTTCAAACCAGTGACACCTCTCCTTGTGTTTGCCAATTATAATTTGGTTATGCGTCAGTTCAACAGTTCCCTAGTAATGAAGCTATTCTGTGTGAGAGGAAATTTTAAAGCAAAATTGAACATAAATGAAAACAAGCAAATGAGGAAATGTGTACATAATCTTGTGTCCACAGGTAGCTATTTTAAATTTGTGGCTATAGTACTACATGTATTATGCTGAGAACGTCTCAGTTAAAATTGAAGAGAAGTCACCAGTCGGATTCTGAAGCCCGAGCAGGTTCAATTAGTATGAAAAGAAAACCAAAATTATCGTCTCCTCTTGTCACCAGGTGTTCTGCAATGTCCTGGGATGAATATTCTTTCTTTTTTGCTTGTAGTTCAGTACTCGAAGTTTTTCAATTTTTTCTTTCTTTCTTTCTTTCTTTCTTTCTTTCTTTCTTTCTTTCTTTCTCTCTCTCTCTCTTTCTCTGTCTCTCTTCTCTCTTTCTCTCTCTTCTTTCTTTTCTTTTTCTGTCTTTCCATCTCTCTCTGTTGGTGGTGGTTGCTATTCATTTTAACTTACATTTACCCTACAAGCGTAACACTTTGATAAATTACGTATACATACACTTCTTAAATACTTGGCTAAAATTTTCAAACAATTATTTCAACCAATTATGGTTTAGCATATATACGTGAATCTCTTACATCATTCCTGCAATAATAGCTCAATAACACTGAAAAACTTCCATGTAATGATTTACATTCACTGTTCTTCATCATTATCTAGTTTACTCCTCCTCAAAAACCAAATTACTAAAGCTTATGATTATTTCAATAAATGTCAAATTTAATGACATCTCCTTAAGTTATTTTTTCTTACTTTGTGAATTAATTGACCTCGTCAGCCAATATACTCCTTCATCTCAAACCTTTACGAATGTCTGTGTTTTCTCTGTCCAGCTTCTCATCTCCTCTAACCTCTCACGTACTTTGATCCTATTTCTCACAGCAGTCATGCAGGTTCCTGTCTTGCTACTCTTCTGTTGGGAGCCGCGGCCGAGCCCGGTCGCCTTACTTGGCGGACGTGAGGCCTGTAGGAAAGAGCAAAGCCTGAGCTAAATTACCCCTCCAATCGAGTGAGCCAAGTTGGCGCCTGCTTCCTGCCCCCTGATTGCCCTGGTGACTTAAACAGCCCGCGCAATAGATTGGTCTACCTAGCAACCAATGACGATGACCAATCAGCTTGCATTGCTTGCTGTTGCCCTATTGGATGATGAGTCCATATATATATATATATGTGACCCTCCCTGCGAGAGGATATAGAGGAAGTCCACCGGTGAGAAAGGACTGGTGGCAGAGCAGAGGCCTCGCGCGGCCCACGCGGAGACAAATAAAGACAAGGTTGCACACCGTCAGAATCTGTCGCGTGTTCTTCCTGCCGGCCGGGAGCGACACCGACACTCTTCTCTTTGTTTCTTTTGGGAACACATCCAATAAAGTCATCTCAATATAATTTCAGAAAAGTTTTTATCCCCAGACTTATCTTTCATCTATTTTTTTTTCTCTGTATGTATGTGTGTGTCCCTTTGAACTGAGCTTAATTTCAATCCTATGTTTATTTTGTGTTATGAGTCAAGGTCTTCTTGAGTTGGTAATTTGTCCAAGTGAAGCTCAAAATAGAGATCCTTTTGTCTCAGTTTCCCACAGTGCTAGGATTACAGGCATACACATCGTCATGCAGGTAACCCATGAGCATATGCAATTGCCTGAACATTTCACTGCCTATGCATAATCTCTGTACACTGCACAATGCATAGTATGACAAAATCTCCAACTCTTCGTGCCTAAATTTGAACTATTTACACCTCTGCTCCTCAAATCCTTTTGAAACAAACTGATAGGAATGGAAAATACAGTAGGAGAAGCATTATGGCATGAAATGAGAGAGAGAGTTCCATGTAATACGAATAACGGGCACTGTTCTCCCCTAGGGAAAAGAGAAATATTCCTTCCAGAAACTTCATTTGGAAAAGTTATAAACAAATTAATTTACAAGTGACCATACTGTAACAGTAAAATAGAAACAGGAAGTGGAGGGAATACAGAGGGAGGGAGGAACCAGAGGGGGAGAGAGAGTGATAGGAAGCAGTACTTCAAACATTTAGCATTAAAATCAGGCAAAGCATCATGTGGTCTTTTAATTACTGTTCACCAGGATAGAAAGTTCCTTACCTAAAAGGCTGTCATATTTAATTTGTTATGATAAATTGACTTTTCAATAACATTTTGCAAAATATATACTCATAATGAAATCTGTCTTGCACTGTCACATAGCAGTGTGCAGCATTTAAAAATGAGTCACAGTGTTCCATGGGAGAAAGACCTAAATTGAAATTACAATTTAAATAACAGTTTTTAGCTTGAAAGATACTCCCTACTGTGAGATTATACAAAGATCTGAGAAAAGTAACTAAAAGCTAATTCTTCAAATTCATAAAATCTAATACTAAATGCTCTACGTAATCTTCATATTGCTCAGTCACTGTAAATTGAATTATTCCTGGGATTGTGTTTAAGTCAAGGCAAGATAGTCCTCTATTTATAAAGGTAATTTAGTTTCATAAGGGGTAATTTTGTTAAATATTGTCAGGTTAATTGAAAGTGATTTGTGTTTACTAAACATTGTGAATACTAATCAAAAATTAGACACTGAAGTATTCGAGATACATTTAAACCTTTGACTAGCACTGTTAATCTTGCATGGAAGGAGTTTTCATCTCCTAGGTGAACTTCGCTTGTTTATCATTGTGTTCAAAATTTATTAAGAGAAAGTGAGAAAAGTAACCTTAATTTCTTTTAGAAATTTTGTGTTTTGGGAATACGTGGGTTAGGTTTGCAGGAGGATGTTATTTATGTTTTATTTCTATGCTTCAAACAGCACATTTGCCTTTCCATCTGCTTAATTCCATTCCAGGTTTGCTATTCTGTACTACTCATAGCATCACTGAGCGCCACATAATAACTTTTATAGGACACAAACATTATCATGCAATTTGAAAATCAGGTTGAGGATAAAGCCTGATAGCTTTTGTGCCCTGGCCTGGTGACTTGGCTCAGTTCTGAAGCCCACGTTGGATGTGGTGGGATATGATCAGCTCTATGAAGCTTAAAGAAACATTTCTCCTAATACAAAATAAACCCACCATAAGCACTCATTCTGAAGGAATTTTACAGTTGTTGGTTAACCTGCTCCCTTATGCCCTGCAATATTCATTAGCAGATTTCTCTGTTTATGAGTGATATTATATGGAAATGGTTATGAGAAGCTAACAGATGTAACCACTGAAATAAATTAGAAGGAAAAGTTCTGTTTTTTACAGATGGCTTCATCGAATATGCTTTTTCTCCCCTCCACTTTAATATTTCGTTTTCCTCCAACAGAAAACTTTTCTTTACCGACTACGGGAATGTTGCCAAAGTGGAAAGATGTGACATGGACGGCACGAACAGAACAAGGATCGTGGATTCAAAGGCAGAGCAGCCATCTGCACTGGCAGTGGACCTCATCAACAAACTGGTGTACTGGGTAGATCTGTACTTGGATTATGTTGGCGTGGTGGACTATCAAGGGAGGCACAGACACACTGTCATTCAAGGCCGACAAGTAAGTACAGTTTTGCTAAAAAAAAAAAAATTAAAGTAGTAAAGGAGATGGTATCATGTTATGAAAAAGACCAAAATTTGAGAATTTCTTGGAAAGAGAAGCTGTAATCGGCTACAAAATTTATTGTTCATTGCCTCTATACCAGATCTGTTTTAATAGCAACACTGTGGTGTCCATTATGTCTCTGATACCTTCTCCCTCTGTTGAAAATAAGCAAGCAAAAACAACAAATAGCAAAGAGAAAATGCTGTACTAGCAAGAAACAAAGTATTGGAATGGCAAAGATGTTATGACCTGTTACAAAAAGCCAATTTAAGTAGTTTATTCATAAGGAACTGAACTATCATCTGTCCCATGAGGCGTTGGAGATTTTTTTGACTAAAGCAAATGCCTGTTCAAAAACGTTCTTATTATTTTAACAGTTTGATTCAAGTTTTACCTTCATATTTATTTACATGCTTCCTAAAGTGAGAATTTGGTAGAAATTTCCAAGAGCAAAGTTCTTTACTTTTGTGCTAAGTTTTTTCCTTGTCAACACAAAAGAGTCTTCTAAATAAACATAAACCTTATTCACTGGTACATGTTTTCAAATTCATTTGAACCTCACTGCAAAAATTTCATGTGAAATTCATCTGTGGAGCTGAAATATATGTCTTTGTTTGCAATATAAGAAAGATACGGGCTGTAATTTTCCATTAAAGTTACTTTTGATTTCTCATGTGTCTTTATTATTTTATTATTTTAATTTTTTGATACCAGGAATCAAACTCAGGGCCTCATGCTTGCCAGGCAGGCACTGCTGTACCACTGAGCTAACATCCCTAGCCCACAGCTTCTTTTAAAACTATTTGTCTTTCTTAACATATAAACAAATGCAACAATGATATTATCTTAAAATCTAATTAATAAATAAGCTTTATAATTTTGAAAATGGGACCAGTCATTTCTCTCACACCTTCAACTGTCTTAAAATACTTTATTTCCTTGGAAAGTCTTTGTTGTAACCTTTAATGGACCTAATTTGATAACGGTGCTCCTTTTTAAAATTCTATTTACCATTAAAAATTAAATCTTGAAGCAAGGATAAGAATTATAATGATTTTTTACCTGGTTAATTTTAAAATCTTTTATTAATAGCTGTTGCAACACATAATGATTACATTTATTGTGCGGGAGTTTGTGCACGCACATGATACACCTTAACGTTCTTTGGTCCTTTTTCTCACGCAGTCCATCCTTCCTCCCTTCTGTTCTTGTTCCTCTTTTCATTTTCAAAGCTTTAGTTTCATTGTTTATGATTCTTTTTTGTTCTTTTTTCTTTCTCTCTCTTGTCTCTCCCTCCCTCTGTTTTTCTGCTTCCCTTTTGAAAAGAATCTCCTTATTTCTTCTTTAATCTTTTGTTAACTTTTTAATTTATATTTTGGAATTCTTATGTAAGGGAAACTGTGTAGTATTTAAACTTATGTATTTGATTTATTTCTCTTATTATTCTGGTTGCAAGATGCAACTTTTTACTTACAGGTGCCTAAAATTTACCATTCTTCTTAACAGAGTAGTATCCATTGTATATAAATACTATGTTTTCTAACAAAACTAAAAATATAAATTTTATTTGACCTTCATGACTAGTTTAAAAAGTTTTTACAGTTATCAAACATTCTTTTTTGTATTTCCATTGCTCATATTTTGCTTATTTTCTGAATATATGCTAAATTTACTAAGGGTACCTAAATTATTAATTTTTAGAGTATGTGGCTGTAATCAGAATGATAAATCTGCCACTCAATTATTTCATCTCTGCTGAATATAGTTAACATAGCAGACAATAGTGTGCTTATTTTATGAGAAATAAAATGAATAATTATCCCCTATATATCTATGCTTTTCCTCTTAGAAAGTGAATTGATCGAGAGAAAAGTGAATGTACCCAAGCACAGATTCCAATGAGAAGGACCCCACAAATGAGCAAAGCACACATTTAGGAAGACAAAGGGAAAGTCAGTCTACTCATTTTTACATTAGACTACCTGGTGTATTTTGTGACTATGATGTCAACAATATAGAAAATGCTTCAAAAACACATGTACTCCTCCCCATCACATGAACACACGCTCACATAATACCCAAGGAGAATGTGAGCTTTAAGATAAAATAATTCTTCATATTAAGCCCTATTTTTCCTTTCTAGTATAGATCAGAAGAAATTAGATAGTATCCAAAAACATTTAAAGGCCAATTTTCAGTTCCTATCCCACACGAAATTGCCAGGATAGAAATAATGAGAAATATATCCTGGTAAGATAATACATTATTTGCTTTTGCTTAAAGTATAGAGCGATCCCTAAGATCTTTGCCAAAAGAGAAAGTTTGATCACTGACTTAATTTCATAGATTATAACAACATCACCATTCTCAAAGCAAATAATTTTTTTTTGCCATTATTGGATAGGCTTTAAAAATAACACAATCTCTAAATGAAATGCTGATATATTATTGGTATGTATTTCAAATATGTGATTTCTTTATTATTTTCTATTTTGAGCAAGTATTAGGGTAAGCATAATTTCTGATGAAAAATGGGATTCTGAACTTACATGATTTTTAAAAGAGGCTTTCTAATTAGTCCTTTTGCAGGATCCACATGACTATATGAACAGGTAACCCAATATAACACATCAAATTATGTATGATAGAGTTGTAGCATTTTATTGATGATGCTTGAAAGTCTGGTTCCCATTAGTCTTTATAAAGTAACTACTATACACATTTTCTTGATAAACTATGAGTAAAAAACCTTTCCCATGTATTTGAAACCTTTGTATCCACTAAGGCTTAGTGTCTTCTTATCACACACAAATTAAACTTTTAAAATATGGGATACTTTGAAAGGAGTTAAATGATAACATTTTTGTGACTTTGCTACTATTTACTTTTTCTACATGGGTAAATAGCAATCAATTTTTTCTTCCTAGTAGGAGACAGCATAATTAAAAAGCATAGTTATTTTTTAACCTCTTTACAGATCAGACATCTTTACGGTATAACTGTTTTCGAAGACTATTTATATGCAACCAATTCTGATAACTTCAACATCATAAGAATAAACAGATTTAATGGCACTGATATTCATTCATTAATTAAAATGGAAAGACCTCAAGGAATTCGAATATATCAAAAAAGAACTCAACCAACGGGTGAGTTAAAAGACTTCTTAATTTTCGTGACAGTAGATTGAATGGGGATACAGTCCTTGTACATTCTTATAGTGTTAAAGCAGGTGAGTCATAAATTTCATTTTGACACAAAAATGTGCATGTCTGCTTGATAAAATGGAGAAGAGCTCCTTTCACAAGTTTAAATGACAAATTGTTCAGTTCTTAGTGAATCATTTCTACAACCATAGAATGGAAATGATGGCTAAATATAGACTCAAGAAGGAGCTTTCAGTTGTGATGTATGTATACAAGACACCAGGTGTTAAGATTTCTGTTTCACTTTTGGTATTGCTTTGAGAGACAGACAAATATTCAATCAGGTGAACTCCTTGTAATATTTACCTAGTATTCAATGTAGTCACTAGACCCTCTAGATTTAACATCTCAATTGTTTTCTTAACAGATATATTTTTATTGAAAATGTTTTTTTTTAAGATAAAGCGGAAAAATTTTTTAAATGTTTCTCAAACACACTGACCAGTTTTTAAATGGTACATTAATAATGTTGGTCAGTGGTCCAGTTAGATTCAGTCGTATACAGAACAATATGGCATACAAACTACCACCCCAATTTTCATCATCTCTGTATACTTATGCTTCCAATAAAAATAATCTAGGATTGTCTAAACATTAACATGTATTCAGTAAGACATTATATATTGTCACAACCATGTCACAGACAATTCAATTTTGTAACCTTATGAAATTTTGATATAAATATTTCATCTATTAATTATTCATGGAACATCTACTACATGCCAGAAACTATTCTGTACATACTAACAATATATCAGGATGTAAAACCAAACAAAATATTTTAGTTTTTTCAAGCTTTCCATCCCAGGGGCAAGATATATTTAATATACTTAATAACTAGGCAATTTTTACATTACATCGCATGTCAATAAGTGTTACAGAGAAAGTAAATGAAAAGATAAGAAATTTAAGGAATTGGGGAGGATTGCAGTTTTGTATTGAATAGTAGGAGGAGGCCTCGTTGAAAAGATGGGATCAAGTGAAGGACTTGGCAGAGAGTGGATTGGAAATAAATATTTGAAACCAGAGTATTATAGGTAGAAGACTAACCAAGCACAAAAGCAGGAAGAAAAAACATGTCTATACCATCAAAAGAGCAGCACGGTGGGCTGTGTGAGTGAGCAACAGATGAATAAGGAAGAGAGAGATATATTTGGAGAAGTAGAAGACCATAAGAAAGAGAGTATGGTAGATCATCATAATAACTTTTGCCTGTATATTTGAAATGGGAATCTCAGGCATTAGACAGAGATATTTCTTAATGAATCACTATGGCTACTACACTGACAAGAGGCTATGAAGGAAGAAGGTGGCACTGTTAGAGCATGGTAGTTTGCCCCCCAAAAATGAAAGTTCTGAGAAATGGCAAATTCAGGATACAGATAAGGTTAGAGCCAGTAGGTTTTTCTGATCCATTGGAGGTGGGTTATGAACAACAACAACAACAACAACAACAAAAAAAAAAAAAAAAAAAAAACTCAAAGAAGTGATTAGACTTGAAAGATTGGCAATGAATTATTTTTGAGATTGAGGAAACTACAGTATAAATCAAATCTTGGACAAAGCAAGTTCATTGTTCATGGGTTATTTCAGGTATCTCTTGTAAATCTAAGTGGTAATATACAAAAGCTATTTGAATACAGAAAAGTTTGTATTCAAATTCAAAAACGAAGTCCAGGATGGAGATATCCATTTGGGAGTCACTGGCATGTCATGCAAGGTCATGGCAACGCATGTACACACCAAGGATTTAAATATATATTATATTATATTTATATATATATTATATTTATATATACTATATTATATATAAATATATAATAACTTATATTTAAGAGGATTCTGAAGAATGGACACTAGAATACTTCAACAATAAGACAAGGGGAATAGGCAGAATCAGAAACAGAGATGAGAAAAAGCTTGTTAATCCATTGAGCTTTGGAGGTACCATCATGACGCTCACGGAGATCTGGTACATGCTTTTGACTGTGAAGTGAATATCTGAGTAAAAAGACTGAGAGAGATGAAAGAAAACATTATAAGAAATGATCATAGATAACTTTGCAAAATACGACTTTAAAATGAAATAGACTTGGATTTAAAAGGATTTTTTTTTTTATTTCCAAGAGAGAGGTTTAACGATACCTTTTTTAGTCAATAAGCATGATCCTTGAGAGAAAGTAAGAAAACACTAATAATCAAAGAGAAGAGCACTATTGATTATGTGATCTAGTGTATATGAGGTTGGAAAAATAAATGCAGCGCTTTTGTTAGGGAAAGATGGTTAAAATGTACTTTAGATTTTTTCACTTAAAATGAGGGAAAAAGTGAATAATGACTATTTATAAAAGTATAGCAGTTTTGTTTCAATAAAATTGCCTTGGTGTTCATCATAACTTGTAAATATTGATTAAAAATATAGTTACAAGAATGCAAAAAATCTTCTTGAAATTGTTCCTACAATTTGTTTTCATTTAGCCCATCTTAGTTTTTCTTATTCTCCTTAAATAATACTTTTCCAATTTTTCTCTTTATTAACACTTAAATATTAATTCACATTTTCTGTTATAATAAATTTCCTCCTGTAAACTTACATTTTCACAATTACAGTCACACACACAGACAACACACTCTCTCTTTCTGAGAGAAACTCACATTTGATTTTATAATAGAGTTCTCAAAGTTGACACAAGACTCAAAATTGTAAAATGCTATCAGCTTTTCTTAACAAAGTAGCCTTAATGACAGAATCATATTTCATCACATTTATTTGTTTATATTGTGAATAGTTGGAAAGCAAATCCTTTATTTAACTACATAAGATGGTATTATTTTAACTAACTTCCTTTTCTAATTTTTTTATCATTGGTATTTAGAAAAATACAAGAAACATGTATGAAAAATCATGTTACTTTTCTGCTTACATGTGAAGAGCTTAAATTAATATAAATACGTTTTCATTCCTGAGAACCTTATTTAGAAAAGCTAACCTTAGGAAAATTTTGACAAATGCTTATGTCCTTCTCTATAGAGTTTAAACTTCTTCCATTTGATTACTAAGTAGTTGGGTATATTGAATTTTGCTAAGATTCACTGTTCTTACCCTAAAAATTTTGACATACTGATGTAAATACTTATCTTGTCATTGGAGAATTTCAAGTACACTTTTTTTTATTTGTTGTAGTCAGAAGCCATGCATGTGAAGTGGATCCATATGGAATGCCAGGGGGCTGTTCACACATCTGTCTGCTCAGTGGCAGTTACAAAATGCGGACCTGTCGCTGCAGGACTGGCTTCAACTTGGGGAGTGATGGCAGGTCATGCAAAAGTATGTTGTTAAAATCAAACATGTTGCCGACAGCTACTTCTTCCGAATAGAATTTTTAGTATTAATTACGTGCTTCAACATCAATATTAACATGAATCTTAGGTGAAATTTGCCTGTAAACTCTGTTCATTTTCCTCAGAATCAGTGTTTGTTGTCTGTTTGTTTTGTGACAATAGGAATAAGAATCTAATTAGGATATAGAGTCACAAAATGTATTGATCTCATTGAAGACTTTTAGGAAGGTTTTTACAGTTCTTAAATAATGATCTTAGTCAATAAACTGCATTCAGTGGTGGATCACATTTTCCCTCCTAGAAACCAAGATGCTCATTATAACTAGCAATAGGGATATTTAGTTCAAGAGAAAATCCACACATAGAAATGCTTCAGTGCATACAGGTTCACTTGGAAGTGATATTTATTTTATAATTAATTTTCCAGGTAAGTAAGGGATTGTTAAATATTATTCATTTTACCACTTTACTAAAGGGATTTTTTCCTCCATATAACATTTAACAAAATTATACTGCTTAATCCTTATAGTGTGCAGTTAGATTGTATCTTAGTCAAAACAACAACCTCATTTTTGTTCAGGATTCCTTCTCTGGTCATCCTTTTGCAATTTATTCTAATTTCTTAACATATCTTTGTTTACAACTGCAAATTAAGACCAGGAAATTTAACTTAAAATAAATTTTAAATGCAACTATTTAGAATGAATGATAGTGTAAATAGATTTTTAAGTCAAGAACTCAAAAAACTAAACTGTAATAAAATGTATGCATTTGTACTTTTTTTTATATTTTGCATTTCTGATTTTCTATTAAATGCTGAGAATATGAAGCTCTCAAGACTCATGTTCCCTAGACCTTTAAGATAATTGAGGCTACCAATGCCTCAAAATAAAAGAAGTTGAACACACTGCATGTATGTGCCATTTTTTAGGGGAATCTGCTTGGCACTTGGGACATGAAGGTGTACGATGCAAAAGTGCACCCACACTTGTGTGTGTGTGTGTGTGTGTGTGTGTGTGTGTGTGTGTGTGTATGCCCCCTATACATTTATGCTTGGAGAAAAATGTAATTTCAGATTTTCATATGATTTAATAACTATGAAAGAAGAATGTCTTTAGGCTACATCTAGAGTAAACATAAAATTCTAGCTATTTTAAAAAGAAGTGGATGTAATGCGAATGAGCGCCATAAAATCATTGAAAACCCTGAAACCGCAGCTTCTAATTATGGTCTTACCAAACCATATCAAATTAGCCTGGCTAGTAACTAGCTGTCACTATGAGGGGCAGGGCATCAACTACAACTGGAATGTTAACTTCAAAAAGATACCCTTATAACTAAGATCCAGGCACTACAATTAGCTGCAAACTTGTGTAACATTCCATAGTCTTCTATTGCATGCAAGGCGGGCATTCAGCTCCCTGTTTCTTGGTAGTTACAATGTAAATGCAAAGAAGAAGGCAAAGTGAAAAAATTCTGTTTCTCAGTTAAATGAAATGCTAGCAGAAACCAGAATATTCACCTCATTTCTACTTTCTACACTTTCTGTACATTGGACTTACGAGGATTAAAGCAAAATCATTACCCTAGCTTAAAGAGTCTGTGAAACATGGGTTTTCAATTATGTGCAATGTGAAAGTAACTTTAAAGTAAATTTTGAATAACATCTAAATATATGAATATAAGAAACAACAAAAGACGAATCATCATTGTTATTTAAAACATACTTACCTGCATGTATAACCACATACACTAACTTAATGAAATACCAGGTTTACCAGTAGGCAATAAAACGTTAAATAACAAAATAAAACAAATGTTAGCAAAGATGGTTATGGTGATGCTATCATTTTTGTGCATTGCTAAATGAACTAAAAATTGTTATCACTGTTAAAAGATATTTTGTAATACATAGTAAAGCAATAAAACATGCCATATTCTTTGACATGTTACTGTATTTTTGATTGAAGAAAGCAAGTATAAAAGTATTATTAATAAATGTTCAGAAATAATCTAAATATTTAATGATAGGTAAGTAGTAGACTATATTATATTACTTTACTGATAGGGAATTATACACTGTCATTAGTGTTTTAGAAGATGTTGTAATGACTTGGTCAAATGTCATTAAATTCTTAAAATGAATACATGAGTCCCATAAAAACAAAAGAATATATTCATATAATATTGGAAAAATATTATGAGACAGGAAAAGTTTTCCAAATGAACCAATATTACTAACATAATCAATTCTTTTGAATAAGATATTTTTGAAATTAGATAGACTAACAAGAGACTAGATGGATAATGAGAAGAATATTAAGATGCTTTAACCTGTAATTCCATCTAAGAAAATGGATGAAATGCTAGATGGAAAAATATATTCTTATTTCAGTATTATTATGAGCAACTGGAAAACAAAAACCAACTAGATAATGGCTTGGTAAATTATCTAAAACAGGGTCATTGTAAGGCTTATAATAAATCAACATAGAACATAATTTTGATGCTATGATGGAATAATATATATAGACTATGAAATTGAATGTTCTTTTCTATAAAAGAAAAATATCTTAAACAAATAGCTAGATAAATTACAACTGAGTTATTCACACATTATATAGCACAGAAAATGAATGACTTGTGATTACTGCAACAATGGATAAATACCAAGAAAATAATGAAAATCAAATACATTTTACAAAATTCACACATGCATTGAAGCATGTGAAATTAAATGATTCAGTATTGGGAAATATATATGAATTAAAACTCTTCTTGCAGTGTGTGATAGGAAATTAAGAATATTTAATATTTTTAAGACAGAAGTTTTATGTGTGGTTATATGCTTATCTTCGAAAGTATTATCAATATTGAGATCTATTGGGTTACTAGAATTTGTTTTCTTTTATTTATTAACAATTGAAATATATTACAAATATCTTTTCATGTATTCACCATTAATAAGGCTAATTTTAAAAGAAAAAACACAAGAAATATGTGAAATACTGATATAGTTTTGATTGAAATTACTAGCTTTATTAGTTATCACCTATTATTATTATTTCCCAGATTTTCTATACTCATTTTACTTTATTAGAGATCGCAATTATTCTGTTGTTATCCACATATGGCCTTCTTTTGTGTACTCAATTTTGTTTAAAAATGGTGTATTTATCTTTTCATAGTATATTATTGCTTTTAGTTACAAAGAGTAAGAAAGCACAAGGTTTGTTCCTAAACGAAGAGCCTGGTATAACCTGGCAGTGTCAATGAATCAATTCACTTTATTAAAAAAAAGCCACATTCACTCTGGCATTGTATACTATGGAGGCTGATTTTTGCTTAAGGATTTGTTTTTCATTTCTTGGTTGACGTTAATAAGGTCTGTGGTTTATATCAGAGCTACTAACAGACAGTGTCAGCCTGTAACATTCTAAATAAGATATGAAGAAAAAGTGTTGTTATTAATTGACAATGATTTCATTTCTTAAAAGGCAATTGCAGTATATTCACATGAAAAAATAATAATACCATGTAGATCTCGTTTGCCTGTGATAGCGTGTAGATGAAAGTTGGAGTGTTATGTTTAAAATGTTCCGAAGTCCTTCCTTATCATTGCGTCCTGTTATGCGTGCTATGGTTAATACAGCATATATAGAAAGTAATGCAATATGAAATTAAATGTACTAGATGTTTTACTAAATGTCCATTTCACAAGTTACAAATTATTCAGTGATGTGTCATGTTTTTGCTATGCAGACAATTACAAACAAAAGAATAATTAACTATATATAGCCCATTCACAAAAGTAATTTCTGTTTTAATTAAAGTAATGCAATTAGCTGGCCTTCTTACATCAAGATACATTTGGCATATTTTAGAGTTTAATTTTTAGTACTGAATTTAAAATCACTAATTGTGCCAGTTAATTAAACAGTGCCATTATATGGTATAAAGAAGATTAGGCAGCATCCTTTGTTTATGTTTGTAATCTTTTTTCTGCAGGACCAAAGAATGAGTTGTTCCTCTTTTATGGGAAAGGACGCCCAGGAATTGTCAGAGGAATGGACTTAAATACCAAGATAGCAGATGAATACATGATCCCCATAGAAAATCTAGTAAACCCTCGTGCTGTAGATTTTCATGCAGAAACCAGTTACATCTACTTTGCTGATACCACCAGTTTCCTAATTGGCAGACAGAAGATAGATGGCACAGAGAGAGAAACAATTCTGAAAGATGGTAAGTTTCACTGTGTGGCATTAACATCAAACTGCCCATTGTAAAGGACTTTGAAAAAATAAGTACCCTGTATATCAGAGTGTAATTAACCAGATTCCAAGTTCTTTTTGCTCATTTAAAAGCACTTGTTAACTTTAATTGCTCAGCAATATATTATCTTTCCGTGCTTTTTACATACTATGGAAAAAAACACACCAGCACCCCTATTATCACAATCCTTGTTAATTATTTGCTACTCTAAAAACATCGCTAAATTGGAGTTTTCTAATTTTGCTCTTAAAGTAGAAAGACTTCTAAATAAACTTCAATAATGTGTATTTTAATTTATGCACACATATGTGAAATTATGTGTTTACGTAAATATTCATGCACATATTCTGTATTTAAGTCAGTACATCTATAAATTATTTGACTTAGCAGCAACCAATGAGGTATTAAAAGAATATATGTTTGGTATAAGTAGGAAAAAGATTTCTAAAAATGAAGCAAACAAATCATCTTTAGAAATATTAAGAAATGACTCTAACCTCAGTTTCCTCATGTGTAAGACCTATAATTACTTCTTAAACATTTTAGAAGTTCACGATTAAGGAGTATTAGTTATATGCTTATGATATGATGGACACTTTACTAGCTGTCATAGGTAAGAGGAATCTTAGGAAATGGCTACTTTCTTCATGGGATTCATAATTTTCCATGGGTGATAGTATAAATGCATGAAAAATATAAAGACATTAATGAAATCAAAGTTAACCTAAAGAAGTATGTATACTGTGTGATTAATGGATACTGTCCATGTAATGGAAATCCACAGAAAGGACCAGATGTCTTTACATGAGTAGGCTTAGAAATCTCCTGGGACAGAAGTAGGTCTGAGCTTAGAGGAGGAGCATTACAGGAGGAGAAAAGAACATTTCTGCAACCATAAATTTTACAAAATAAAACATTTTCAAAAGGTGAATATGGGTAACCCTATGGATCACTTGCCAGTAACTGTGAAGGGCAGTTATAGAAGGTGAAGGTGATATGATGAAAGGTCTTGAATATGAGGTCATAGAATTTGAATCACATCCTGAAAGAGTAAAAAAACAAGAATTCTTTGATCTAAAAATTATTGTGAATGAAGTGCTATTTCTGGAGGATCTGCACTCTACACGGGTTCAGAATGAATCAGAAGGTCTACAAAGACAAATATTAAAATTATTTGTAGCTTGAATCATAATGAATGGTGATGTCTCCTCTAAGTATCTGAAAGGGAATGAGAGGGACAGAAGATTATTCAGCTCAGCTATACTTTAAATCAAATCCTTAATGATAAGTACATTCTTCATGAATGGCAAATGAACTGCTAAAATGAAAAATATCCTATCTCTTGTCTTTTTTTATAGCTCACTGATTAAAACTCCACAAATCCACCATAATTTAACATCCTTAAGGAGTTAATACTGAAAGTTAAAGTTCTGCCTTCAATGGAATGTGGCAGAGGCTGTCTGACTGCTTTTCTCCATAATGTAGTAGGAAATGCGACAATTGTAGAAAGACAGTACCTTTACACATTCTTGCTAGGTGGATACACTTGGATTGTTCTAATTTCATTCCAGACACTTTCAAGAGAAATTAAAATATTACAGATGGATCTTCATTCTTAAAAATAAAAGGAAATGCTGGTTCTATACCACAACTGAATACTCCAGCTAATAACCCTACCTTTGACAACAGTTTCTGACCAGAGCTGGTTTTCGTTCTTTGCATCTTATGCTACTTGCTTTCTTCCCAAATGTGGCCTTTATAATTTCAAATAGCGTACGTGCTCAATAACACATTTACTTTTACTATGAATAACAAGTTTTATAAAGTATTTTGCTCTCTATGTTTTCTTAATTTTATATTACATCAACTTACTTTGTGGTAATAAAACCAATTACAGTAATAATAAAAGCTCACCTTTGTTCCTACTTACTGGATATTAGCGTTGTTTCACTTTTGTGCAATGCCCCATTTAATCCACTCAACTGCTCCCTGAGGGAGGTATTATTTACTCCATTGCATAGATTGGAAATTGATTCTCAGGAAGACAAAATACTCTATCAAAGTCAGATATCTAATAAGTGATACCACTTAAGAGCTGATAACTCAGAAATTTTATTATGCTTGCAAGCTGAAAACTTACGCTGCTGTACCTCTGTGACTGCCAGTAGAAAACATGAAACTTCTGAGACAAAAGATAATTATAACTAGCATCAACAGCAGCAGCCAGACAGCAATAATTTTGCTTCAGGGTCCTGAACCCAACTCCTCATCGTACAACACAAAGGTGACACCTGCTCATGTAGCGATGAGAGAAATGTGAAGGTTAAACAACCCCATTTTTTTTCTAACTGTAAGCATGCTTATTCATTGCTCCAGAGAGAGTTACTCTGTCTAGCTTCTAAGACTAATGCAAATCTTTTGTTCTGAGACAGACACAATCTTTATAATCCTGGAATATTTATCTTGTTAACATCTTTGAAAACAGAATACAGAACAAAGGCACTTAGTTTCTCTGCTTCAAGGATACCGAAAATGTGAACAAATGGTAGAAAATTGTCTTGGACAATGCTAGAATGCCAATTCATGTGGTCTGAAAATGTTCCATGAAAGATATCCACATCCTAATCCTCAAGTCTGTACTGTTACTTTATATGCATGGCAAAGAGGATTTGCAATCATGATTATAATATGAATCATGAAATCAGGAGATTGACTTGAATCATCTGAGTGGGCTGCAAATACAGGAAATTTATAAGATGAGGCAACAAGCCTCATACAATTATGAATGTAGATTCAAAAGACTGAGGTGATGCAAGGCAGGAGTCATGAACAGGAATCCAAACATCTAGAAAAGGCAAGAAAATGAATTCTTCCCTAGACAGAACCATTTCTCCCCAAATCTTCACTTTAGAACACAAGACTAATTCCACTTACACTAAATTTTAAAAATATATATATATATTATTTTAAGCCACTAAGTTTGTGTCAATTTGTTGGGTAGTAGTACAGAGTGAGATGGATAAGAGCCTATACTGTTAACCACTGTGGAATGCAAAGGGACACACTTTTTATTGTGAATTTACTTGAGATAGAATTCTACAATGAGACCTGTAGCAGATATACACGTTTCCATATTTCAAAGTGTTCCTTTTCCCTAGGTATTTTTTAGGAGCCAATTGGGTTAAAAAGTAATGAATAATTTTAGAGAATAGATAGACTCTCCTTCTATGAAAAAAAAAATAGTGTTACTACTTCCTTCCATTCATATTATCTAAATAATAAATTTAAAGACAATCTGTTGACATATTGTCAGAGGGTAGTGTCATATTAGGTGGGTCAAACCTTATTTTCAGCTTGGTATGATTCCTGATATCTTCAGACTGTCCCATCGATTTTACAGTCTGGGAATTTTTCCAGTTTTGTGGTAAAAGTATGGCATTATGTTTAGACCATCAATTATTATTTAATGATTCACCACTGTATTACTTAGATTGCAGAACAGCAAGTAACACTGAATTTAAAGTAAAATTATAGTTTTTACACCTAAGTTATCTATGATCTTTGCATTTCAATGAAATTTGCCACTTAAGTAAGAATTCTTAGTGCCTTATAAAAACTGTTTCACAAGAAGAAACAAATGAACTAAAGCTTTTGAATTATGTTAGAAAGTCCCTATGTGCTTTACATAGTGACAAGACCTTACAAAACATTTTAAAATGAAGAACAATTTTTACACTCTGTTACTAACTTGCAGGTAACCATCTTATTTTTCTGCTCCTCACTCTGAACTTTCTCAAAAGAAAAACTTCAAAATGCTAAGAAATGTAGACTCTGGCCAGCCATTAAAAGAAATAATGAGTACATTTGTCAGTCTTGGGACATTTCCTAATTAAAACTGTTTAGAGATTTGCAAATGCTTGTGACTCTTGAGAATCTAATGGTTATTGTCCCACTGAGTATCAAGGACATGGCCTGTTTGCACATACTGACTCTTGTTAACTTTAAATAAAGTAGTATCTGAGAATTTACTTGAGATTTGAATACTGAAAACACTTTTTGGTTTCATAATTAGTTTGTAAATATGTATTTCTCATAGTTTGTATTTCTTAAGAAGTCTATAGGATGTTTGAAAAAATGATTTAAACCAGTATACTTATGTCCTTTTTATTTGCAAAATAGACATCCATGTGAGTAGTTGGAAATATGGGTTCTGAAAGGATTGCCTGGCTACCATAAAGTGATTTGATAGACATGGAGAAAAGCGAAGATTTTTCCTTATTCATTTTCACTCAGTGTAAGCTTATACATAAGATTGACAGACACATGCGATGCACTAACACATACACTGCATGTTTGCACAGCAGCTCCAAAGAGCTGTAGAAGTTTTTAATTAATATCTATTACCCTTTAATTATTAGATTACTGGCAAGGTCAAAAGGAGATGTGAAAATTCTGGATAATCCTTAAAGCATAGTAGAAGTATTTGAGCATATATATACATATTTTTCTCAATATTCTGATCATTAGAAGTTATGTACGTTTTAATTACATTACCTACTTTTAGCATGAAGAAAAAAATAGGAGAAATATATTCAATGAGTTATTTAATCATCCTTAGCATTATGTAATTCCTATTAAGTATTTCAAAATCATTTGGGGATTCTTCATTAATCTAGGACAACCTTTATGAACTTAATAATTCTATTGTTTCTTAGGTTAATTAATACAAATTTAGGATTTAAAACTTATTGATTAATCATTCTTGGCTAACTTTACTTTGCAGATTCCAAAGTAGTATCCACTGGCTTATATTGTGGGACTATATAATACTCATCATAAGAGTTGAGCAAATTCCAATGAAGCTAGTAATGAGACTCTATGAAATAGTAATAGTCATTGAAAATACTGTGCACTAAAAAAATTCTTTGATATACATAAATCATAACTGTATTTTTTCTACCTTAGTGACC